TTATTATATATAGAATATATAATATATAATATATTATATATTATATTATAATATATTATATTATAATATATTATATTATTTTATGTAATATAAGATATTTACCATATATCCCAAGAGTTATCAAACATAGAAACTATGGACTTATTAACTTCCCAGGGAGGTTATCAAACAAAGAAGCCATTAACTTCTTAAGTAACTTCTAATTTAGAGTTCTTCACTAACTTCCAATTTCTAGTTCATATTCTTGCTTCCTGTTATCAAACAGGCCCTAAGTGAGCTTCTGGCAAGCAACATTTCCCACTCTTACACTTGCTTCCACTCCCAAAAATAATGATTTGAACCCTTGTCCTCTCTCATACATATGGGTTTCTTATCATTGTAGCAAAGCCCAATTGACCCTGATCATTGCTTTGTCATTTTATTCTAGTTGCCTGTTAAGTCCCTTTTTGTGTATGTGCACATTCTCTAGAGACAAATTATGAATCACAAGAAAAGGAGCAATTTGCATGATATTTGAACTTTGTGGATGAACTGATTCTTTCACCACCATTTGAGGGAGAATATTGCAGATCATAGTGGCATTTTATCTTTCTTTGAATTATATAACTTGTATCCCTATTGTGTGTTCTCAATGTATATCATTATGTACTCTGAAGGAACTTATTTAATCATGGATATATCCAAAGGCTATTTATGTCACAAGGCACCGTAATTTGTCATTATATGATATGTCATGGAAACGTGATGAAGGATGCATATTCTGTTAAATCTTTTGCAGCCCAGCAGTATTCTCCCTCTCACTCTCCAATTTCCTTCCTGGAATGAATATAAGATCTTGACACTTTGCACTTATTAAATGACTTGAAACCTGGTTCCAATGCCTGTACAAAACACAAAAACTAGAGTGCCATTTATACCATACTACTGACATTGTATGTGTGATGGGACTTGTCCGAGTCTACATGGACTCGAGCAAGTAACTGCCCAGTAACCCCAAATTTTGTGTACAACTCAGGGTATATAAAAAATAATAATAATAACAAAAACAATTTAAAAATGTCAAAAATCTAGAAATATGGGATAATTTTTTATAGCATTTGGATGTTTTTCGCAAAGAATGGTGAGTGTTTTTGCCGTAATCCCTATTTTTGTATTTTTATTTATTTTAAAAAATGTCCCAAACTGTAAATGAGTTTGTTTTTTTTTAAAAAAAATCTAATTTTCTCTACTTTTTTAAGCTTAATTTTAAATTTTTAAAGTTCTTTTTGGTTTTATTTTACTTTTTTCTACCTTTTTTTATTTTTCAAAAATTTTCCCTTCTTTAAAAAATTTTATTTAGGGCCTTCAGCCTTGTGCAGGACTCGGCTGAGTAACTCAATTTGGCCAAGAGCCGAGTCCCTTGGTTGAGGCGAGCCCCAGCATGCTGGTGTGATCTAAAGATTATCAACCAAAAAACCATGATCACTACTATGCCTCAAGAGGACATGCAACTTGAGCAAAGTTGACAATTCAACTTGAGGGGCTGATTGTATATTGTACCCTATGTATTGCCCTTATTTCTCTCTTTTCTCATACTTGATGGTTTTATGCTCTGACCACAAGTATATTGTAGATTTTTTTTGTGCAGTATTATCAATCTCCCTTGCCCTGCCTCATGCACACTTCATCTCTAAAGCAATCTGACCTCTATTCGTATAATATGCATTTTCAGCTCTTCGCTAAAGCAATCTGACCTCTATTCGTATAATATGCATTTTCAGCTCTTGTTTCTTCAAGGACGTGATTTGTTTGGTCAGCTTGTTAATGAGTATGGGTTCGAGGCAACACATATTTCTTTTTCTTACAAGTAATAAGAGAGCGCATGGCATGCTTCTAAATGACATTACTTATGGAATTTTCCTTTTTCTAGAGAGAACATGTTTCTTTGATGGCTACGTAGTTCATGTAGGTGATGCACAGACAATCACAGTTATATTTTTGGCTTGTCTTCATTTCCGGCTGGAGTTATTGAGTGCAAGTTTAAGTTTCTGATTATAGAATCTTTAATTTTTTTAACCTTTAAGAAAATAGAACAATCTATCAACAGTATCATATTTATCGATGAATGGTATATCAATTGCTCCTCTGGCTTCAGATGTTGATATCTGTTCATTTTGGATTAAATTGACTTCATATTCGCTCATGGGTTTTTTCTTGTTTCTTAACTTACACGTAATAAAGGCTGACATGAATTCAATTATCTGGACAGAGCAATTGGTGGAGCTAAACAGAGAGTTTGATGCTGTGATTGCACTTGAGGTATACTTCAAGTAAGGATTGTCAGTCTATATCATCTTTATTTTTCGGGCTTATACTATGGTGGATAAACCAAATTTATTCTCATATTTTCATTTTTTTTTTTTAAGAAAATGCTTTTGTCATCATGAAACACCATATAGTTGCCTGTTAGGATTTGTATGTTGTTTATGCAATTGATTTCAATAAATGATTACATTATCCATTCGGCAGTTAATCATCCATATGTGGTAATCATCTTTGTTGCCATATGCCTTTGTTGGACAAATTTCTACCATTGGTTTAGTTTCACTGTCTGATGTAATATGTCAGACAATGATCACACATTTTCTCCCTTTTCTTGTTTGCAAAATAAGCAGGGTCATTCGAAGTTTGAACGTTTTGATGGTCGGCTTATGCCATCCATTGAAATTCCACAATATATCATTGAAATTTTCATGATAATAAAGTTCCTCTGAAAAAGATCCTCCTATTTTAGAGCAAAGTGGTTTGCTCTTCAACTAGTGTGTCAACTCTCCACTGTTTTGGTTGAGATGAACCATTGTAAAGTACACAAGCAGAAGGTTCTTGTCCATTGACTACCTGGTCTGCACAAAAGATTACTCATCATCTTCAAGCAGTAGGTGACCTTAGGTGAATATGTGAATCTCCACTGTTCTGTGAAAATACTGATTTCAGTCGCCTTATGATGCACTATTTTCGTATCCAGCACTTCTACCAGGCTAGCATATCATAGGGAAACTACCTAAGCTGGTCCGCAAAGACTAATGAGTCCTCCCTATTGATACTATCAAAATTATGTTGAGTACCTTGCTTTGGGGTCAACTAGGACTTCTACCCCATCTATTGCATAGTGCTTTTAGTTCCTCTACAGACAAGGCTAGTTTTGACCTTGCATGATTAGTATTTTTATATGGTTAGCAGCTATTTTCAATAGCAGCGATAGGTGGTCAGGTCGGACATGGGCAGGCCCTAGCCCGTTTCTGACTTGACCAGCTAATCTGGCCCAGCCCAGCCTAATTTATGTCGGACCCGTCAGGTTAGGCCCAAACATGGTCTGTCATGATAAATTCAGCCCAGGCCGTATCCTGAACTGGCTTGACTTAGGCGTGTTCTGGCTCTGCTTGGTCGATTGGCTACTCTGCATAATATAAAAGTAGTTTATAAACTAATGCTGACCTTGGTGATAGCTTGCTAATTTTAGAGGCTAGATTATGGTTGTTGGAAACACCTATGATTCATAATCGTTTTAGGACTCGGACTCTCATTATAGCATGTTTCAGGCGATTCCTATAGTCGGAATAGTCGTTCGTCGTACGTACAATGCAAATCACTTGCTGCGTGGTTCCCACTATATCGGAATCGCCATCCAATAAAATAGGAATCGATGTGTCCTATCTTTTTGGAATCGGTATCCCATCAATTTGAAACGAGTTTCTTGCCTTTCTAGAATCGCGATGTGATAAAATAGGAATCGTGATTCCTATATTGTTGGAATTATTGTCCTATCGATTTGGATTTGCGATCCTTACCTTTCAAGAATCACGTACCAATCCATTCGGTACCATGCCAAAAGTTTTGAGTGAGAAGATTTAAAGTTTTATATTATTTTTAAGCTTGAATTCTAGACTCTATATATTGATTACAATTACCCAAGGGTCCAATATTATTCGGATTGATGTCTTTGACAGCCCTCCTCTAACAATGGTCACGGAGTATTGAGTGCCCTTGAACGTACCTCTCCACAACTAGAACAAGGTCAAACTCCCTTATATATCTACTTTCTTGGAGTTTCTAGAGCTCCAAATAAACATTATGTCATATGTGTTTCTCATGCTTATTTTGAGGACAATGAGGAACTGCATCTTCTTACTAGAAAATTAAGATGTGGACCTCGAGCTCTTAAAGCACCATATTCTTCAATGCTTTATCGAAAAACCCTTTCAACATCGGGGTCCATCGAATGTGAAAAACCAAACCTATATGTTTTGTGTTTTTCGGATCTTTTGATGATCAAAGAAAGATATGCATCTTCTCACATGAAAATGAGTCTCCGTGATTTGGACCTCAATCTCCTAGAGAGCCATGTGCTTAGATATTTTATTGAGAAACCCTTTTAACATTGGGGTCCATCAAAAGTGAAACGATTTCTAATTTTGTGAGCAGGGTGATGAATTGCTTAAGTACTAACCGAGAACACCTGCATGGCTCAAGTTGAAAGTTGGAGATTCTGGTTGACGCTTGCCTGCAAAGGGCATTGCTATCATACTTTGCTAATAAATCAATAAATCTAGATATTTGCATTTGAATCCTGTTTTCGTGTTATTACAACTTCAACTCCATGTTGATCAAAAAATTGTTCAGAGCATCTATGACACCCAGGTTTTGATTTTGTGGGTCTAAGTTCCAAAAAAATCCATGACATGTACATAAGGAGAACACAATAGAACTTTTAATCAAAGACCAAGTGTACTGACATGTAAAGTCTTTTGGATAGTTGTCATGTTAGGGAGTATATTGATAGTTGACTTTTTTGCTAATGCCCAACATATGTGTTTTATCTCGAGCTGAGTTGGAAGCAGCTAGCCACCTTCTTATTCACTGTATGCATGCTATCACCATATGGAGTATGTTCTTAATCTCTTAGGCATGCAAATTGTTGACCCCAGCTAAATTTTCATGGATGTTAACGGGGTAATCCATGACCAGCAGGCATGGATGGGAATTTTAGAGATAAAAAGGTAGGAATCTTAAAAGCTTTTCAGTTCCACTAAGGATAGGTGATTCTACTTTAGCCAAGCCTTGTGCATTTCTTACAGGTCTATGGATCTGGCCCTCCCCTTCAAGATGTCTATTAGTAGTAGAGGGGGATTGTCGCAACATCATCATATGGTTTCGTAAAGATTCCTATATTCCATGGACATTGGCTATGATTTTTTGTGAAATTTTTTATATTTGTAATGTGCATATTCTTAGGAGAACTAGCCAATATGCTGATACCCTTGCAATGAAGGGGTTCTTTGAGAATCACTCTATTTCAATGTTGGAATCTTGACCCTTGACATGTTGTCTTGACATCTCTTGAACTTGTTTTTTGTTTTTTATTCTTTGTACTTCTATTTCAATGATGAATTCTTTTGTGAAAGATAAAAAAGAAAAAGTATTGTACCTAGGCCCCTTCGATTTTGGCTGGATCAGAATTCCCTTTGGAGCTGCCATAAAAAATCGGTGGGTTTATTTCTACCGGCTTATGTGTTGGGCCTTCGTTGTCTGTGGCCTAAGGATGGTTTGCTGCTGGCTATCTAGGTCAACACTGAAGTTATCCCAGAACTACTTTTTCACTGAGGCTCAGATTGTCATTCTGGTCTTATTCCTATTCTTCAGCTATGCTATGCTGTGGTGTTTGTGGTCTAAGGACTGCCTTTTTCTTTCTAACCAGAAGTACCGTGGGATAGGTGGAAGGCCTAGACATCAGGAGGCTGTGCGAAAGTTTGGGCTTGGAGGGGAGAACCCTTGTGAGAACAGGTCTTCAATTGAGCCCAGGATTGCCCCCTCGAACTAGAACAGTTGTTGAGTGTTAACGGCCTCCATGATTGAAATCCTTTATGTGGTGCATGATCATAATTCCATGTCAAACTATCTACATTATGATACAATCGGTTTTTCTTATTATTTGTTGAAATTAAAATGGCCATTATCTATTTTTCATATTGATTTGCACCTGAAGTTAAAAAGAGAAGTTGTGTATAAAACATTTTCACAGGATCTTCACCACTACCAGTTCCGAGAATGCTTTCCATTTTTGCACGACGAAATCTGTCTTATGTAAGTTGTTTATTCTCATTTCCAGGTGATTGAGCATGTAGCAAATCCCTCTGAATTCTGCCAGTCATTGGCAGCACTAACTGCTGCCAATGGAGCTACGGTAATTTCTACCATCAATCGGTCTATGAGAGCATATGCTGCAGCCATTGTAGCAGCAGAATACATCCTGCGTTGGGTATGTTCTTAAATAGCTTAATTTCTTGAAAACTAACTTTTGGCTTTGTTGTGATCTGAGCTTCCTCCTTTATTGTTTATGTAGTTGGCAACAGTTGATCTTTTAACATGTTTTAATAATAATAAATATTTACCATTGACAAACTTGATTCCATATTGATTTGAAATTGGAACTTATCATGGCACATGAACAACCTCTTCATCTGTACAAGAATAATGCATAATTGAAAAAGTTCTTTCTATTAGAAATATCAACTTGCAATACTTAGTTATTGAGGCTTTCAGGATTGTTCAACAATTCATGGTGAACCTGTTTAAATTAGTTTCGGATTATAAAATTCCATTTGGCAAGCATTCTTCTGAAGTTCTAGAAGCTCTGGTATGGAGCAATTGATAAGGATCTAAAGAAATGTTGTGATCTTGTATCTCGTGATGCATTTCAATGCAAAATAGAAGATACTGGTTTCTAACCTAGTGGAAATGCAGTAGCATAACCAGATCATTGGCAGAAGGAATATGAAAAGCTACTAATATTTCATCTTGCCTAATGATTGTTCTCTAGTGTCGAAAAGGTATTGGTGAAATAGTAGAGGATATCCAAAGTACATTAACATATACGTCGATACATGTGAATGATTTCCTTAGAAAGTCTGCTGATTTGAGTTTTTTGGGAGTAATTACTTGAAATGGTCACCTTCCCTGTGATTTTAATCATAGCATTTTTCTAAGTTAAACCTTCCCATACAAGACTTCCAATTGAAAAAAAATCACCATCGTAAACTGATTTTTCTATATGCAGTCAATGATATGATCCTCTTAGCCTCCAAAGGCGGTTGCTTCCCCCCTCCCCCAACCAACAAAAAAACACCAAAGATAAATACATAATACAACCCTGCAATATTCAAGTTCAATCCCTAGTTGTTGGAGGCATGAGCGGGATTGGTTCAAGGAATGCCAAAACGTGGATTGGCATCCGTACATTCAACAAGTTGAGGAGCTAGATCCTAAGGTTCTTGGGAGTAAGATCCCATGTCACTAGGATTGTGGCCTTGACTTGGAGGGTCTAAGCGCCACTATACATGAAACGATATCACTTAATAGTATATGATAAAATTAGGATTGAGCAAATGCCCGTTCAATCCATTATTATACACCTTAGCTTATAACCAATGTCATAGTTATAGTTCTCTAATTTACTGCAATAACACGGTCTAATAATATCATAAATTAGCGTTTCTACGATATTAGATTATAGGTTTTTAATACTATAATTCTAGTATACCACAAAGTGATATGCACCATAGGTTAACATATTCTAAAGAAATAAATTTATACTACCAAGGAGAGGACTAGTAGTTCAATTAATAGTATAGCTCTTTTGCTTGTAGGGATCCTACAAGCATGTATACCGAGATCCCATTTTATAGGGAGCATGATCCCTATTTCTCTAAAACCAGCTCCCTATGTGATCCCTTAGAGAAACTGCAGGATCGAGTTCCGAAGATGGGACCGTGGCCTTACCTCCAAGGTTCCTGCAACTATGGTTCAATCGCACTTCATTTCACAAGGTCACCGGAGTAATGAAACTTGAAGTCGACATGCTTGCCCTAATCATGGAACAGAAATTTTGTCAATGCAATGAAGGACTATTTTAGAGTATCTTTATCATCGAAAGTCTGGCAACCAACCCAAAGATATAGAGAGCTTATTCTTGTTCTTTGTATCTCCCTATAAGAAAGCTCTTTGGAAATTGTTCTATCCTTTTGACAACTGATGCTCACATCTTGAATAATGACATGGAGCACCCTAGTAAGTTTGATAATGTTTGCTGTATAACGATAGATATCTTGATAACATGTTTCCAGTTTGCTTTCAAAACATTCCACCACTCGATCCATTGTTTTTTCGTTCAGTTTTCCTATACATAGGGACAGAATCATGTATTCAGTTGGTAGTGTATCGACCCCACACTTAGCCTTCTAGCTAATGCTTGCACCTTTTGTTGGCTCATTGCGATGGCCAACAAATTTTTTTTAGCCATATTGACTTTAAAGTCCAACGCCCCCTCAAAACATTTGAGGAAAGGCCACATGTTGTATACTTGTTCTTGGACTGATGACCGGTCCCTGAGGAGTAACCCCAAAGTCTTGGATCAGCCCCATCAAATGGATACTTGTGACTTGTGAGCGTCCTGCTAAGCAGCTCACCAACTATAGAGAAAAGAAAGGGCAACAATGAGTTGCCCTGTCTTATCCATTATGAGCTTGGAAAGTAACTAAATGTTGTATCATTTATAATACTAAAAAGGAGCTAATAAAAGACAACCTTGAGCCCATCTTCCAGCTGTTTCTGGAGCACATTGTTTGCAAACGTTTGATCCAACACCTTCCAATCATTATGATCATAGGAATTTTCTGAATCTACGCTGCATATAGCCCTTAAATCCTTGTCTCTGTGATGGGTATTTATAATTTCATGGGCTATAAGCGCCCCACCCAATATTTGACACACTTTACATGAGCACCTTTCTGGGGAAGAAAGCACTTGATTTAGGCAAAACTTTTTGAGCTTTACTGCATCTTTGATCTTTGGTATTCGAGAGATTAGGTTTGCATATGTACCTTTTTGAATGGTTCCTCTTTCGGGACCAAGAAGACTTGTTTTGAGGGCCTCTCACCAATCACTTCGAAGAAAATTTGAAAGATAACAGTTGGGAAACCATCAATGCCCGGTGCTCTGTCATGGTTAAGATTGAAAATTGCCTTTTTTATTTCCTCCATTTCAAAAGGTTAACTCATCCAATCTGCTGCAAGCTTTAAGAAGATATTTTTTCCACTATGCCTGAAGTTCATTGCTTGTAGAAGAAGATGGTGTTTTGATCTCCTTTGTTAGTCATCGTACTCTTGATCTTTGCCTCAAGGAAATTTTCTCTTGCTTAGGAAGCTTCTGTTATGTTTGTTGGGCCTCTTTTCTTTCAAGGATATGAGCGGGAAACAAATCATCATTTTCTTCCTCCTGGGCGAACTCCTGAAGTTTTATTAATGATGTACCCCGTTCAATGTTGCCAGTCTGCTGTAAACCAGCTTCTTCCAATGCTTGAGTTTCTCCTCCAAGAGTTGTTTTTTTCTCATTGAATTTGAATTCTGCTCACCCTGAGACATGAAAAGGCTTCAACCATTCTGATCTTCCTGTAACCAAATTCGTTCAAAAATGGGTTTGGGGCCATTCAGGATGATATTCATGTCTAGTTGGCTAGGGTAGGGTCTGGTTTAGGTTTTGGTGGTCAAAGAAATGGAGGCCTGGATACTTTGTTTGCCAGTCTTGGGGTACATGGAATTGGCTTAATTGTGTGAGTGTGGGGTGTGCTTGATGTTTAGACCATGTGAAATCAGCTCCATTCAAATTGATACCGGTGATTCCATGTGGGCGATAAAGTTTGAGAAGCCCACCGTGCTTATTGAGATTCTGCCAATCCTGTTCTCTTCACATACCCATGAGTAACACTGGAATTTCCTCCAAAGGCACCATGGGAAGGGGAGCTGATGTTTGATGCTATCAACTGTGACCAAACGAATTCTCTGAGAAGTGGCTGATTGGGGCCATATACAGCTTTGAACACCATCTTGAAAAGCAGATAGAAACCAAGAATGGTGTTTTCTTTTACAAGAACAGTTGCGCCCAAAGGAACCTAACCCCCGCCCAATGCACATTGAGCAGGGAGAGCAGTGCACTCGACTGGGTTTCTACCGATTTAACTTTGTTATGGTGCAGGGTTGCCTTATTTTATTTCTGACTCATGATTATTTGATCTGTTCTGATTTGTTGCCTGGACATTTCTACCCCATGTTTCTTTGATTGTTCCGGTGTAGGGTTGCGTGATTTTACTTGGTGTGGAGTGCCCTAATTTTATTTCTATATGCTCCATTGGGAGCAACTTGATATGGAATTTTCACCTCTATCTTTGGGTTCTAGTCCGAACAAAATTGAACATGGAATCCTTTTTTTTTTCTGTGGGAAATTTACAAATAAATTCTTTTTTTATATTTAAAAATGATCCCATCTCAAAGTATCACTATGGGTTGTGAGGAATCTCTCTCTCTCTCTCTCTCTCTCTCTCTCTCTCTCTCTCTCTCTCTCACATATATATCACTACTACTAGTACGTACGTACCTACTACACAGTAACATAGTAGTAAGTAAGTAGT